GGAGGCCCACAGGACCCTCTCTCCAAGCTGGCGGAGGAGGCCCACAGGATCCTTTCTCCAAGCTGGCGGCGGAGGCCCACAGGAGCCTCCCTCCAAGCTGGCGGAGGAGGGAGGGCCCAGGGTAGCTTACTGACTCTTAAGTGAGCAATGGCAGTGTAAGTTTAGCTTTTCTCAGCTGAGGACCACAAAGGGGTAGAAGCAAAATTCTCTCAATGAAGCTTTGCAAAAGCTTATTGCTCCACATATTCCATGAGGAGATGCTTCCGCCTTCCCTGACCTCACTGTTCACCGCCAATTGGAAGAGGAGTCCATTTTCCTGTAGTCTTGTATAAAGACATCAATGTCTGACCTACCTCACTAAGGTAGCTAACACCTCCCTCTCCTCCTATCCGAAGAAAGCAGCATGCATAAATGCAAATGCTTCCAGAGACTCTTTCTAAAAGGTGGTGTCTCCCCAGAACCCAATGACACCAAATAAAGCTCAGCAGCACCCTGCTCAGCCTTGACAGCAGTCTTATCTCCGCACCGTAAGGATGAAGACATCAAGCTCAGGTCCCATGATCCCCGGACTACCGGGAACAGGGATGAACACCTGGGGTCAACGCAAGGAGGTAAGAGACAAAAGAGCTCAACGAGGAAATGCCAGAACCAGGGGCCGAAAGTGTCTGATGACTGTTGTCAGATGGGATCTTTCTTTTCCTTCTATTTTGAATTTTCTCCCTCCCAGTCCAAACTGCAGCAATATAACCTGACAGCTCTAGCTTCAGACGGGATACATCATCAGGAAATCATTCCAAAAGCTCTAACCAGATAACTAATTTAATACACTTTGCTTCAAGGTTTATTCCTTGGCTTGCTTCCCAGATATAAAGCATCTCTGGGCAATTATTATGCAGATGTCGCGGAAAGGACTTTAAATGGCTGCTGCTAATTTCACAGGAGCTATGTTGGCATTCGCTGGAGATGTGAAAAAGGAATGCAAAACGTGCTACAGAACCGAAAGTATTTGTTTTTAAAAAGGAAATATTTGAAAGTTAGTGGACTAACTTTTAAATGTTTTCCTTTGGGTTTAAATGTAAACTTTGGGTAGGAAATTGGATATTAAACCTACTTCTCTGCGTTTTGTGCATTAATGAATATTCGCGAAGCACAAGGTGGGAGAATGGACAGGTTTATGTGATGGCTTCAAAGAGACATCAGAGCTACAAGCTGCCCACGAGACGTGTGAACGGTGCCCACGATGGGGCGTAAGAGCTGACAGAGAAACATGATGGTTTTCATTATGCAATAAACCAGTAACTGCAGCCCAACTGTTAACACATCCCTAATGGCAACGGGGAGCCCTGGTGGCGCAGTGGTGAAGAGCTCAGCTGCTAACCGAAAGGTGAGCAGTTGGAATCCACCAGCTGCTCCTTGCAAACCCTATGGGGCAGTTCTACTCTGTCTTACAGGGTCACTATGAGTCGGAATCGACTCGTCAGCAGTGGGTTTGGTTTGGTTCAACAGCAGAGTACCCCAAGGATAGAAAACCTTAAAGAAAGGAAACAAATACCTCTTTGCCTGTTGATGATCCAAGTTCTAAGCTTCTCAGAGTGAGGGTGATAAGGTCTGTCCCAGTAAAATATACATAACACTAATGGTTTTCTTTCTAGAACATACACAAGAATTTGGGGACCTACAAAGCTCGGTTGAAATTCTACTTCTTGACTGATTCTTCAGATCTTGGGGTGAGAAGAAGCCCTCCATCCCCAGGTACTTGGAGTTTAAATTCAGTACAGCCACCACACCTGGCTGCAGGTACGCCACTGATGGTGGGACAGCGCCGCTTCACATTCCAAAGCAGTTCCCAGATAATCTGCCGCCACAGCCCTCTATTGGTGTGCGGTGACAGAAGTCGCAAAGGCATGCTTTTTCTTGTCCATGTGATGCCATTCCTCGTATTTTCAGCTCAGGAAAAAGGGCAGCAATGGAGGAAGGCATAACGGAACACCCACAAGGATCATGTCTAAGATTAAAACGATAATTTAAACATTTGTTCAAGAAGAACTAGACAGTAGAGAGGAAAACTCCCAAACACTCAGCAAGAGGGGAAACTGAGTGGAGCATGATTCACTGTGCACTGACCCAAGCAATTCAGGACAGGGGTCAATTCAGTCCAAACAAAGAGACAAACCAAACTGGACTTCCGACCGCGGGCAGTGTTAATACCACGATGGGCCAGCGAGGGAGTCGCACAGAGAGAAGAAAAGCAGCAAAGGACTTCAAACCTGCTGCCCTCGAGTCGATTCCGACTCATAGCGGCCCTACAGGACAGAGTACAACTGTCCCACAGGGTTTCCAGGGCTGTAATCTTTACAGAAGCAGACTGCCACATCTTTCTCCCGAGTAGCGGCTGGTGGGTTCGAACTGCCAACCTTTCGGTTAGCAGCCAAGCATTTAACTACTGTGTCACCAGGGCTCCTTCGAGGGAGACAGGAGCTCTTCTGCTCGTGCAGGCCAGAGCTTGGAGATGGTCCCGGAGAAGACCCCCACCACACTGGGGTTCACTGTATGGGGCTCCTGGCCAGAGCCCCTGCCACCTAAGTGCCAAACAGCCCCCATCCATCAGCTTCACCAACTGTTCCCTTTACAACCTTCCCAATGACTGAGCACATGATGGAAACAGGGAAGGCGCCCAGCACCCCAACCTTCCGGCACCCGGCCAGCACAAACATCTTATTTACATAAGAACAACTAGCAAGGCTCTGCCTGACCCCTTTCTCTTCCCACTCGGGCCATTATCCCCTCGCAATCAGGCAAGGAGCCGAACTGAACAGATGGCCTGGCGCAGGGACTCAGGGCCACCAGGCTGGGCTCTCAGAGTGAACAGGGGGAGCAGCAAAGGTCCAGGGTGGAGTCCCCGGCAGGCGAACACAGGCTGCAGAGCCCAGGATAACGGGTGGTCGGTTAAGATACAGCATAGAGCTGCCCATTCATCCTGGAAGAGAGCAATCACTACACCGAAAGGGAGCGCTCCCCTGGCTCTTCCCATCTTTAACTCGAGCTTGGAAGGAGAAACAGAGAGAGACTAATGAGGGTGAGGGCAGAAAGGAAGGAGGGAGGAGACCAACTGTCCATCAAGACTCCCAAGCCAGAAAATATAAGAGCATCGTGTGTTTTTCTTCCAAAAAGGATCTTGACCCTTTTCTTTATATTTCAGGATGAATTCATTTTCTTGCCATCTTTGATTTGGACATGAGTAATTAAGCTGATGGATTTCAGGGCTGGTTACAAATCTGGCTGCAACTTCACTAGAGATGTGTCCCCTTACGCCTCGGTCCCCAGAACAACCCACTGGGCAATCTTCCCTACTGATGTGTTACAATGCAGATCGGTCATCATGTGGTTCAAATGAAAAAGTATTACATTGTGAAAATTGCATTAAAATGATTCACAAACATTATTCCAAAGGGGGAAAAATAAATTATCTCATATAAAATAATACATGATGTCTATCTGTGAAGAATCCTGCCATCTTAGGAGAGCTTGCGGCCTGCCTGCTGCCAGCCATCTGCATCCTGTTGGGGAGCAGATGTTGTCTAGAGGTGCCTCCCCATTGGTGAGATGGAGGTGGATCATGGGGATTAAATGAGTCTGGAGTTCTGGAGGAACTGGATGAGGACCTGGTAGACAAACTTGTACTGAGCGATGGTCTGGACCATGAACATCCTCTGCTCCCTGAGGAGTCTCAACATCATGGGGACTTCCACCTTCTGCAAGAAAAGAGACAAAGCACAAGAACCTGAGACATGGACCTCCCTCGGGTTGTTCCCTTGTCCAGGTATAAGACAAAGCAGAGGACTTGGCTTTTGATCAACAATCTATAGGTTTGATAATCAAAGAGTCCATTTCCAGCAACTGGAGCTTCTGCTGGTAACAAGCGGGTCTTTGCCTAGATTACACTTCAAACACTACCAATATCACAATATACAACCCAGAGCCATCAAAAATGAAACAATTACCACAGCGTGTGATGAGCATTACTCTATGTTGAGCACTGAAAATACAAGGATAAAAATATAAGGCTGATGAAAGAACAAATACCGTATTATCCACTTATGTGAAATACCCAGAATAGGCAAACGCATGGAGACAAGAGTCTCCTCGTGGTTACCAAGGGCTAGGGGAGGAGGGAGTGGGGAGTTATTGCTTAAGGGGAACTGAGCTTCTCTGTTTGGGGTGATACAAAACTTTTGGAAATAGGCAGTGGTGATGGTTATACAAAGTGGTGAATATAATCAATGCCACTGAATTTTACACTTAAAAATGGTTAAAATGGCAAATTTTCTCTTCTATACGTTTTGTTGTTGTGTGTTGCTGAGTCGATTCCTCTCCTGTACCCATCACAGGCTCTGGACAGAGGCACGGCCTGAAGGAATTAAGAGCACGGGATCTGGGTCAGGTTTCTTGAGCTGAACCCCAACTCTGCCACTTCCTAGCTGTGGGAGAGACAACACTACTTCAGCTACCTGTGCCTCAGCTGCTCTTCTATAAAACAAGGTACTAATAGGACCGATTTCATGGAGTTACTGTGGAGGCTACTTGGGATGTCACTTGTAAGGCTCTGAGAACGGTACTGGCACATGGTGAGCACTAAATACAGGTTAGCTTCTGTTATTACAGTATTCTTCTCATGTTGTCATCACTGTCACCACCACCACCACCGTCATCACCACCTCCACCACTACCACCACCACCACC